AGGTGCATCCTGTTTCCACTGATCGCTACACAAGTACAGGTCCATTTATTTTAAACTGTCTTTATTAGTCTTTCCAAAAATCACCAACTCTGGTTTGGTTTCAATAAATATTTTTTGACTTATCCAGAGTCAGTGTATTCGTTACAGTAGACGGTAGTCATTGCAATATTATTCTAATTAACAAAAACAAAACTAAAAACTAAAAGTAGGAGTGATAAAAATTTGGAGTTATAAAATAAAAATAAAGTACTGAAATATAAATAAAAACTAAACTAAACTATTTTGTGTAGAAAATGAACTAAAATAAGGTGAAAATATACAGGAAATGTATATTAATCTTTTTGGTACATATGTTCAAAGAGACGGGAATGTCTATATGATTGAGTCAATGTGTTTGTACCTAATACCTATTCTGAACTTTAAATCTTGCCCCTGATATATAACCCCCATGTTATAATATACAAAAACTAAAGTTAACACTCAAACTAATAAAAACTAAACTAAAACTGAACATTTTTAAACAAGAAAAACTAAACAGAAACAAGCAATAACCCTCTCTGGAAACTAACTGAAACTAAACTGAATTGAAAACAAAATTTTAAAAACAAAACAAAAATGAAAACCAATGAAAAACTATTATAAGTCTATAATTTTCATGACTTGAAAATCATCTTTAAGTCAGCAAATTAACAATTTGAATAGATGCTGGCAGCTTGTTGATCTTGTCTGCTTGCAGCCTTTAAATGAGTGCACCATTTTATTGTTGCAGAAAATTTTGTGATTGGTTAGAATGTTTTTTTTAGCTGCCGCTGTCTGTTCCCCCAGGCTCAACAGGAGACCCAGAAGGCAGCTCTGAGATATGAGAGGGCTGTGTCCATGCACACTGCTGCCAGAGAGATGGTGTTTGTGGCCGAGCAGGGCCTCTTGGCAGACAGGAACACCATGGACCCAACCTGGCAGGAGATGCTCAACCATGCCACCTCCAAGGTACGCACGCAGCAACTTTGATGTATTTTATACAGGCAAAATTGGGGGAAATCCATATATTGCAATAGATGGTGTCTTTGAGCCAAGTTGACATGAACACTTACAGTGCATCCGGAAAGTATTCA